CGAAATGTTCGATATGGAGTAGGTTGAACCAAACTATTGCAGTAAATCGGGAACGCTCAGGTTGGACCAACTTATGAACGATCCGACAAGTCCTTGAACAGTGCCCAAATGTGACTCACTATTCACGAAACGATTTTTTTTCGGACAAAGTGTAGCTTATTTACAGTAAATGATCTTTGATAAGTGGAGATCATGCAACTGCGGCTCGACTGGAATTGTTTTGGTGAATTGTTGCGTGCAATTTGAGTACTACTGAAAATCTGCGACTATGCACCGGATGTTTTTGCGAATCCGGCTACTTTCTTGACTGAATGAACGGAAAATGTATCAGGAGCATTTTACACATCATTGATTGTGAGTGCAGAACAGGCCAGCTCAAGTCAAGTGCTGTTTGATACGAGCCAGTAGATCAGTAGCATTCTACACATCACCTAATTTTTCATTATATGTCTCAAATATCATACCTGAGGATTCCTCATCAGTCACAAGGTTCATCGGGGAACTGAAATGAGGAGTTTTAGACCAGTGTGGACCGAACGAAGTCTACAAGTATTGCGGGAGTGCGTGTCCAAAGGTTTGTGGAAAGAACGACTTCGAGCCATGTCCAACCATCTGCGTGCAAGGATGTTTCTGCAAGCAGGGTTATATTCTTAATCGAAAAGGTGGCCAATGTATTCGTGAAAGTCACTGCAGAGGTATGTTTATTTGGTTTGATTGATCTGATGTGGAAAACAGAAATGAAAAGCTCATCATATGATGAAAAAGAGATTTTTTCTCGAATACGTATCATTCCAGGCCACGTCTATCCAAAACAGAAGCATTTACATCGATGCGGTCCAAACGAAATTTACAGTAGATGCGGGACGCAATGTCCAGCGATTTGTGGTCAAAGGGAACCTGAAGTTTGCACACTGGCTTGTGTGGCCGGATGTTTTTGCAAGTCCGGTTATATTCTTGACCGAATGAACGGAAAATGTATTCGTCATGCTGACTGCCGAGCAGGTCAGCTCAAATCGACTGCTAATTGATTCCAGCCAGTAGATCAAGAGCGTTTTATGCATCAGATGATCTTTCATTATCACCTCTCATAACCGGAACGTAGAATTTCATGTTGAAACGGGTGTGTATACACATGTATATTCGCGATTGCTCTTCACTTGAACACTTCAAACGCAATAAATCGTATTGTCTTCACGCAGTTGGAACACTTGCCGCCGGCCGAGTTGAACTGTTTCGCTATGAGACACTCTATAATAATTCTTTGCGGTCCAGTCGAGGAGTTCAGTGATTGCCGAGGCGTGCGTCCATTAATATGTGGAGGCCTAATCCATTTGAAGCGCAATGAATCCCATGTAGTGATGACATTCGAAGGAAACTTCAGTTCGGATGTAATCTGATCGAATTGACTTTTCAACATTCCAACATTCGAAATCACGATCGAATTTTAAAATTTTTCGGTCGCAATGCAATTTCGGAATTCCAAATGAAATTTATCGGATTTTTGCGACCGAAGGACGCCATCACTACTCCAAGATGTTTCTGCAGGAAGAGTTATCTTTTTGATCGAAGAGGTGCAGTGTGTGTTCGTGAGGGTCGGTGCAAAATTTTGTTGATTTTATTGTAACCTACTATGATGTATCTTTACAATGCGAAACTTAACCAATTTGCTAAATTGAGAATGTTAGGCTATAGTGAATGTTTACATACCAGTCATTTGCAATGTACTTTTCCCTTCCTTTCGATTCTGAAAAGGTTTTTTTGCATCGACCCACTCGTTGCTAATCATTATGTTACTGAAGATACTGAAGTATGTTACTGAAGCCATGTTACTGAACGTGGCTCAGGATCTTCATCTTCACACATTAATGGACGCGCGCGCTTCCCATCACACATATTTCTGCATTGGTTTCGAGCTTGCCGCCCTCCTCCCTCTGGCGAACATCGGCATGACTCGTACTAAAGTTTCCGAAATTTCTACACTCACACGAAAACTAAACATTAGCTACGCACTTGAAGGTATGCGAATAGCACACTGCCGATATGCAACAAGAAAGAGAGATAATCTCTCTCTGAAAAGGGAGAAATAATGAGTGTTTCGACTGAACCAAGATTTGACTTTCACCGTTGTTATAAATCA